GACCTAAAGGTGAGGGCTAACTGCTAACCGCTAACTATCAGCGGCTGCATGTGGGCTGGGTCCTCTAAGGATCTTAACATTTGGTGTGTGTGTTCAGGACCTGGGCGTGACAAAGGTGGGTCACATGAAGAGGATCCTGCAGGGCATCCGAGATCTCAACAGGAACAGCAGCGCCAGTGAGGCCTGACCACTGCCAGGTGACTAGTATTAGCTGTTAGCTTAGCAGCAAGAAACATGCTAATACATTTGAACTGTTATTTATCTTTGATAGCTGTTAGCGTGAGGAGCTAACCTATGATCTGATTCCCTTTGTCGTCCAGGTGACTGCTCCTCTCTTACCTCAACCACGGCCTGTGACATCACAGTAGAAGCTCACTGTGATTGGTTGTTCTATAAGACATTCCCAGGAGTTGACCTATTTTGCAATAGGCAATGACCATATTTGATCAAGAGGGAGGAACAGCTCCTCCCACTTGACCAAATATGGTCATTTGTGTATCAGTTGGATTAGGATGAGGCAATCAAGACTCTTTGATTGGACGAGGATCCTGTCTGCCTCGTCACAGAACCAATCAGACCCATCAGTGCCTTTTCAACACAAACCAGCCAATTAGCTTCAAGGACACAGGGGGACCCAAACCAATCAGATCGCCCCCCTGGTCCCGGACATGAGGACAACGCTTTAATCTGCCAAAGACCTGAACTCTGAAGGACACGGGAGGGGGGGCATCCTGCTGACTTTGATAAACAGGAAGTGATGAAAGGGGACGTACCAGTCTTCTTTCTGATGTCCTGATTACACATTTGAAGGGACCAACCAGACGAGCAGCTGCACTGAACCTGATCCAATAGAAGACACGAATCACGCCCAGCTCAGTATCGTCCAATCACATCGCACAGAGAGGTTCCCATTAGTTTACCCAATCAGATGTCAGCTGAAGACAGTTTGATGTTTTCAAGGTTGAGAGAGAAGGTTCTTCACACTCGTTCACGTCTTGAATCAATTGATGTTTGTTTGTTTGTTTGTTTGTTTGTTTACAAACTGTAAACAGTCTTTAATCTTTGTTTGTGTCGTTTGTGATCTTTAATAATATCGTGACGTGTTCTTGCTCTAAATGTTTAAATGTGTCAAAGTCACTACAATATCAAATAAACAAACAAACAAACAAACTTGTTTTTTCTTTGTGAGTTTTCATTAAAAAGCTTGTTTTTCAACTCAGGATGCTTCAGTGGTGATGTGACTCCAGATCCAGATCTAGATCCGGATCAAGTCTTTAACCCTTTATTTCTGTCAGGGATCCTGATCTGATCCTGATCTGATCCTGATCCTGATCCTGATCTGATCCTGATCTGATCCTGATCTGATCCTGATCTGATCCTGATCCTGATCCTGATCTGATCCAATCTGATCTGATCTGATCCTGATCTGATCCTGATCCTGATCCTGATCCTGGTCTGTCTAAACATTTTTTAAGTCACGTCACAATGATTTCAGCGTCTTAATGTTGCGCTCAGTGAACTGATATCGAGTTTGTTAAGTTACGATCTTTATATTGAGTTTGTTAAGTTACGATCTTTATATTGAGTTTGTTAAGTTACGATCTTTATATTGAGTTTGTTCAGTTACGATCTTTATATTGAGTTTGTTCAGTTACGATTTTTATATTGAGTTTGTTAAGTTACGATCTTTATATTGAGTTTGTTAAGTTACGATCTTTATATTGAGTTTGTTAAGTTACGATCTTTATATTGAGTTTGTTCAGTTACGATTTTTTTATTTAGTTTTTATTTTACAGGGACATTGCATATTAATAAACATTTCTGTAAATATGCCAGAGTTAGCCAAAAGGCTAATTTTCATCTGTTGTCCCTGAACAGATTTTATAAAAGGCTCCCTAAAACAAAAAAAAATTCAAACATTGCTAAAAGCTACAAAAACAAGTATTAGTAAAAGCACGTATCCAATAACCTACTAAAGTAACTGTAACGTGCACACAACAAGACAACATGTAACACAATATACAATAAACACGTAGAAATTACAAATTACACAAGACCACATATAAAACATCGAGTGAGCTATACCTGAAGCTCACCTCAACAGACAACAATACGCAGGCCACATTCATTTAAAAAACAGGACACATTCATCAACAACCAGACACAAGGGGGCAGCAGCGAGCGGAACAGGTTTAGTGCTGGCAGATGTGGTTATCAAACAGCCAGTGTTTCAGATGTGAACTAAATGAACGATATGTGTTGCTCTCTCTGATAACTGTTGGGATGTTTTTCCATTCACGTGAGGCTGGAACAGAAAAGGCCGACTGACTAATAATAATGAGGAATAATGCAGTCGCCTCTTGAGACACCCCTCGTGAAGTGATGTGTGTTTGTTCGTATGCTTACAAACTCTCTGAGTGGGGGAGGGGCCAAACCATGTGAGATTTTATAAAGGAGGCATGCATTTTTGTGTTTAATCATGTTCTCCCAGCTCAGGAGGTTGTATTTTTTTGAGGATTGAACAATGGTGGAATTGGTTTGGTTTTTTGTCTAAAACTTTTATTGTCTTTTTTTACAAAGACTGTAGTGGTTTTAATGTGGTGTGACTTGCCTAAGCCAATATATTCCAACTCACAATTTGACCAAGTTAATTCATTACATTGAATACTATCCTTCACATAAACCATGACCCCGCCTCCCTTTGATGTCACTCTATCTCTTCTGAAGATTTGATAGCCAGGTACCTCTAATGCTGCAGATGGCGAGTTTTCATGCAGCCAAGTCTCAGACAAGCATAGAAAATCTAGATTTGAGTCCATTAGAAGATGTTGAATTTGATCAACGATCTTTATATTGAGTTTGTTAAGTTACGATCTTTATATTGAGTTTGTTAAGTTACGATCTTTATATTGAGTTTGTTCAGTTACGATCTTTATATTGAGTTTGTTAATTTACGATCTTTATATTGAGTTTGTTCAGTTACGATCTTTATATTGAGTTTGTTCAGTTACGATCTTTATATTGAGTTTGTTCAGTTACGATCTTTATATTGAGTTCGTTCAGTTACGATCTTTATATTGAGTTCGTTCAGTTACGATCTTTATATTGAGTTTGTTAAGTTACGATCTTTATATTGAATTTGTTCACTTACGATCTTTATATTGAGTTTGTTCAGTTACGATCTTTATATGGGTTGGATTCTTAGTATCGTTACGTGGCGTCTTTTCTCCGTGCTCAAACTAAACTCTGAACACGTTTTTTCTGCTTTCTGAAGATTATTATTTGTATTGTATACATTTTTTTAGTATACATGTTTTTATTTTGAAGAAGTTGGTATGGTGTGTAGTTGTGATTGTTTCATATCTGTGCGCTCACTTTGACACTAACTTCAGTTTCTTCTCTTGTTTTAAAAAAATATCTTAGTCTCCAAACAGAAACATACTTCAGCGAAGTTTAAATGCTAATGTTTGTTAGCTTCCAGCTGCAGTCTAATGATGTCATCATGTGACATCATGTGACCTCATTAGTGACCAAGTGCCTTTCAGGGCATTTTGATTTTTCTCCGCCCCATCCTCAGTATTTATTAGATTATTTATATGTAACTTCTGATACTGTGTGTAGTGGTAGCACTGTTTGTACACACGCCCCCTGCAGGGCTGTCGGTGTAAATACAGTGTATAGTGAAAGGTCAACATCCTGTAAGAATTAAAGCTCCTCTGCACAAACACACAGTCTTTTTAGATTCTTTCGAGGTTTTTGAGCATCTTCTAGCTCCTTGTTTTTGTTCGTAGCAACATGCTATGCTATACTGTGATCTTCTCTGACTCGTCCCATGTCGTGTCCTCGTCTGTGTGTCAATATTTGAACTGTGGTTAACCATCAATCATCTGGATCTCGGTCCTCCATTTCACCTGGAACAGACGGCGAGCGTGTTCACAGGAGACACAGGTAGGACCAACCACTCACAGCACAGCAGCTCCAGGTTCTCCAGGTTCTCCAGGTTCTCCAGGCACTGAGTCTAACCTCACAGACTGTAAGGAGCGAGGAGCGTTTAGTTTGTCAGCTGCCTTTTTGAAGCCTCCACTTCAGCATTTTGGCTGAGGTGACCATATATGGACAAGAGGGTGGAGCTGGGGGGGTCGGGGGGGGGGGGTTAGCAGTCCCACTGTATACTACTATCTGCTGCGGTATGTACCATATATCATGTTGGACAGGAACATTCTCACGATTTAGAGACTCAACATGTCTTCGGTCTGATTAAGATTATTTCCTCTGTTACGATGGACGCTGCTGTCCGTCATGTCAACCTCTGACCTACCGCTTTGCATTGTGGGAAACAGTAAGCGAGGGAGACTGGTCTAATGCAGACTGGAGATTTTTACTGAATCAGCACGACATCCGGGTTTGTTCACATACTGCTTTTTTGACCAATCAGGACAAACTACTAGGAGAGTAGGAGGTTTAGGAAACAGAATAAAAGATGTTTCACAGGAATTGGGAAAGGAAGTGAAACCTTTAACGTGATGATGGCGCTGTCACTAACACCTAGTCAGAGTGAAGCCCTTATTAACCCCCTAAACGTCCACCATGGTTCTTAGTAAGAGTAGGAACATTAGAAAGTTTGACAGTTCAAACACTCACCTGAACATCATCTGATGTGTGTGTTTGTCCACAGACACACACATGATGTCATCATTAGCTCTCACCTGGACTCTCACCTGTCTGCTCACCTGCTCTGCACTGGTCCAAAGTTCAGGTGAGTCTGAGCAGGGCTGCAGTGTTTCAGATCAAAGATCACACCAGATGTTTATGATGATGTTTCTTCTTCAGTGTTTCTGGATCGGTCGTCTGCAGGTCAGATTCTCTGCTCGGCCTCCAGGAGCCGCCGAGCAAACTCCTTCTTCCTGGAGGAGATGTTACCAGGAGACCTAGAGAGGGAGTGCTATGAGGAGAGCTGCTCGCAGGAGGAGGCAGCCGAGATCTTCCACACCAGAGAGAAGACGGTGAGATGCCAACTGAGGGTCGAGACCCCAAAGGGGGCCGCTGAAAACACAGAACTCAACATAATGTGGTGTCCCTTTAACACGGCCACCAGGGCGCAGCAGAGTGTAAAAGTTCTGCACATATTAACTCTGAGTTTCTTCTTCTACAGCTGGAGTTCTGGTACAAATACATCAGTGAGTATTTTCATCCTCTCATACCAACGTATAATATAAATAATAATAATAATAATAATAATAATAGAAGCTCAGGTGAACATCTGCTGAGGTGTGAAAGTGAACGGGTGAACTCTGATCCAGATGTTTCTGAAACACAGTTAGCAGCAGCTCGTCCAACCTGTAGTTTGTTCTTGTTCTTTATTCATTCAGATGTATCTTCATAAACAATAAATAAAGGTTTATCTTCTGCCGTCAGTCCGCCTGATGATGTCATAATACCTGGATTAGTAAGTCGTGGTGTGTCCTTTGTCGTAGATCTGAACCCCTGTCGAACAAACCCGTGTCTAAACGGAGGGATGTGTACCCTAGACCGAGGAGATTTCCTATGTCTATGTCCTCCGCAGTACCACGGCAAGACCTGCGAATCAGGTAACCACACCTCAGGTAAAAACACCTGTAACTCAGCTAGGATAGGATAGGATAGGATAGGATAGTACTTTATTGAGCCCCAGAGGGGAAATTCGGGCATTACAGCAGCACAGACAAGAAAGCTCAAATACACATTAAACAGAATAGATAACATAAATAAAAATAAAAAATAAAAATAAAAACAGGGGGTATATACAAGAACAAAAGTGAATGTTGAAGTTAACTGGGGGGAATTGAGAATTGAAACAGTATTTGAAGATAATGACAAGATAAAGTGACAAGTGGTGATTAAAGTGACTTGGTATGATAAATAAATAGCAGCAAGTAATGTAAACAGCAGAGAAGAGAGGCAGTGTTGTACCACAGTAGTGCAGAGTGCAGTTATATAATATAATGTAGTATAATATAATATAATATAGTGCAATATGAACAATATAGTGTAATATAATGAAATGTTATTTAATATAGACTAATATAATAATATAATAAAGAATAGATAGAATGTACAGTATATATGTATATATATATTGACCTAAGTAATAATAATAATACAATAATACAATGATAATAATGAAGCAGGTCATGTGGGTAGTGTTTTATGGGGGTGAAGTTTTGTGTCAGGATGGACTGTTATTGTTGTCATAGGCTGCTGTTGTACAGTCTGATGGCAGTGGGCACAAAGGAGTGCCTGAAGCGTTCTGTTTTGCACCTGGGGGGGGATGAGGCGTTGGCTGAAGGAGCTGCCCATCTGCCACAGCTCACCATGTAGAGGGTGAGAGGAGTTATCCAGGATGGATAAGATTTTGTCCTTCATCCTCCTCTCACCCACTGTCTCCAAACTGTCCAGATCCAGACCCACTACAGAGCGGGCCTTCCTCACCAGCTTGTTCAGCCTGTTTGTCTCACCAGTCTTGATGCCACCCCACCAGCACGCCACAGCCAAGAAGAGGGCGCTGGCCACCACAGACTGGTAGAAGGTCTTCAGGAATCTGTTGCAGACACTGAACGATCTGAGTCTCCTCAGGAAGAACATCCTGCTCTGTCCCTTCCTGAAGAGGGCGTCAGAGTTGTGAGACCAGTCCAGTTTATTGTTGATGTGGACCCCAAGGTACTTGTATGAGTCCACCCTCTCCACTTCCTCCCCCTGGATGATGACTGGGGCAGGGGGCCTCTTCTTCTTCCGGTAGTCCACTACCACCTCCTTTGTTTTGCTGATGTTGAGCTTCAGGTGGTTGCTTTCACACCATGTGACGAAGCTCTCTAACAGTCCTCTGTACTCCTTCTCGTCGTCATCAGTGATGAACCCAACAATGGAGGAGTCGTCAGAAAACTTTTGGAGGTGGCAGGAACCAGAGTTAAACCTGAAGTCTGATGTGAAGAGAGTGAAGAGAAAAGGTGCCAGAACAGTTCCTTGAGGTACTCCTGTGTTGCCCGTCACTACATCAGAGACATAGCCGTCGACTCTGACATACTGTGGCCGGCCTGTGAGGTAGTTAAAAATCCAAGCTGAGCTGTCAGGGTGCAGCTGCATATCCAGCAGTTTGTCCCTCAGGAGGCAGGGCTGGATGGTATTGAAAGCACTGGAGAAGTCAAAGAACATGACTCTCACAGTGCTTCCTCTCGTCTCCAGGTGTGACAGGGCTTTGTGGGTCAGGAAGATGATAGCATCCTCCACACCAATGTGCCTCTGATATGCAAACTGCAACAGATCCTGGAAAGCAGTGAGCAGGGTCCTCAGGTGCTGGAGAATCAGCCTCTCAAATGTCTTCATGACATGTGACGTGAGTGCCACAGGTCTGTAGTCATTGAGAGCGCTGGGACGACCTTTCTTTGGAATTGGGACGATGCAGGAGGTCTTCCACAGGTCAGGCACCTTCATCAGCCTCAGGGAGAGGTTGAAGAGGTGCTGAAAGACTCCTGCAAGCTGCCCAGCACACACCTGGAGGATCCTGGGACTGATCCACAGGCCTTTCTTGGTGAGGGTGGGCTGTCCTTTGAAGCTGCTGATGAGGAGCTGAGAGAGGGGGGGAGGTGGTCAGGACCATGATGGGAGGAAGAGTAGAGTCTCCATCTTGGCCTCAATCCTGTCCTTGTAGTTGTTCTTGGCCTCTCTCAGCTTCTTCTTTAACTCCTTTTGGACAGCCTTGAGCTCCTCACGATCCCTAGTCATGAAGGCCCTCTTCTTTCTGTTGAGGAGAGCTTTAATGTCTTTATTGATCCATGGTTTGTTATTTGAGAAGCAGCGGACCTTTTTGGTAGGGACTATGGTGTCCTCACAGAAACGGATGTAGTCTGTAATACAATAAGAGAGGCCTTCAATGTCATCACCATATTCCTCCTTAAACAGTTCCCAGTCTGTGACATTGAAGCACTCCTGCAGGGCCTCCTCTGTATCCTTAGACCAAACCTTCAAAGTCCTTGTGTTGGCCCCCTGCTGCTTCACCAGGGGCCTGTAGGTGGTCTCAAGGTGGATAAGGTTGTGGTCTGATTCCCCAAGAGGGGGGAGGGAAGAAGAACTGTGTGCTCCCTTCACGTTGGCATACAGGAGGTCCAGGGTTTTATTCCCTCTTGTAGCACAGTGCACATACTGTTTAAAGTTCGTCAGGACAGGGGAGACAGAGACATGATTAAAGTCCCCGCTGATCAGTATGAGGGCGCTGGGATGCTGGGTTTGTAGTCCCGCGATCATAGTGTGGATGACGTCACTCGCGCTAGCGGCTACAGCTGATGGTGGGACGTAAACAGCAATAGCATGTGAGAACTCCCGTGGCAGATAGTACGGGCGTAATCCCACCGCCAGCATTTCAACGTCTGGGGTACAGACACAGTCCTTCACAGTGACATGTCCGGGATTACACCATTTAGAGTTAATAAAGACAGCAAGACCTCCTCCTCTCTTCTTACCGCTCTGTCTCCCCCTGTCCCCCCTGCTGTGAAGCCGGCCAGATCGATGTGACTGTCCGGTATATTCCCATGTAGCCATGTCTCCGTGAAGTAAAGTAAACTGCACTCCCTGTAGACACTCTGGCTGTTTACTAAAGCTGTAAGTTCGTCCGCTTTGTTGGCGAGTGACCTGACGTTCCCCATGATGACCGATGGTAGAAAGGGTTTCAATTTCCTGTCTCTCTCGATCCGCTCCCTGACTTTAGCGCCGGCTTTCTTCCCCCGGCGGACACCTCTCCATAACTCCTCAGGGATGCGTGTAGGAGGAACACCGGCTCCATGCCTGAAGCTCAGTAGTTCCTCACGAGTGTACGTGATCATTCCAACAGTAGAAAAAAAAGTCCCGAAAGAAACACGTAATTCCACGAGTAATACCGCAACTAAAACGCTGCAGCAGTGTCCAACACTAAACACAGAAACAGTGCAAAAATACTTCATAAAAGCAAGAAAATAGACAATAGTAGTTAAATAGTTAAAAACACCTGTAACTCAGTTAAAAACACCTGTAACTCAGTTAAAAACACCTGTAACTCGGGTAAAAACACCTGTAACTCAGGTAACCACACCTCAGGTAACAACAGCTGTAACTCAGGTAACAACATCTGTAATTCAGGTAAAAACACCTGTAACTCAGGTAACCACACCTCAGGTAAAAACACTTGTAACTCAGGTAAAAAGATCTGTAACTCAGGTAACCACACCTCAGGTAACAACAGCTGTAACTCAGGTAACAACATCTGTAACTCAGGTAACAACATCTGTAACTCAGGTAAAAACACCTGTAACTCAGGTAACCACACCTCAGGTAACAAGACCTGTAACTCAGGTAACAAGACCTGTCATGTAAAAACATCTGTAACTCAGGTAACAACACCTGTAACTCAGGTAACAACACCCGTAGCTAGATCATGACCTCTTCAGAACTTACATCTATTGACTTTGCAAAGAGCTGATATTTTTTGAATATTTCCGGTTAAAGTCAGTTTTAACGGAATTAACTGATATCAAGTCATCGTTAAGTTTTGGATGAACTGTGCCCACCTCTGGTTGTTTACAGGGTTTTCATTGTGTGTAGTTGTGTTGCAGTGTCGCTATAGAAATGGTGGCTGTATACAGTACTGCAGAGACCTGCTAGATGGAGCTGGAGTTCAGTGTGGCTGCGCTGAAGGATTCAACCTGGAGCCTGATGGATACAGCTGCTCCAAGACAGGTACCACTCATAGAGCTCCAGTTATTACTGTAACCAATACTAACTATTACTGCTGTTACTACTGTAACAACTATTACTACTGTTACTTACTGTAACAACTATTACTACTGTCACGACTGTAACAACTATTACTACTGTCACTACTGTAACAACTATTACTACTGTTACTTACTGTAACAACTACTACAACTGTTACTTACTGTAACGACTATTACTACTGTTACTTACTGTAACAGCTATTACTGCTGTTACTACTGTA